ACCACAGGCGCCTCCTCTTCGGTGTCATTTGGAGCCCACTCGACAGCTCCACGCCCCACGGGTGTGGAGGGTTGTGGCCAGGTTTCTCAGTGCCTCTTTTTTTAAAATGATGACAACATTTATTTGAAAAAGTAAAAGTGAAGACTGGGGAGAAACTGGCTCTGCAGAGTGAACTTGGGCCAAGTAAAAGACGAAGAGGCGAGATAAAAGTCCACCCTGGAGGACCTGGCGCAGGCTGTGGGGAGGAAAGCTGCAATAGCCTCCCAGTGTGTCCTTTGACTGCTGAGACCCAGAGGACCGCTCCTCTTCTCTTCTGGCTAGGGGACTACGGTGAGAGTGGAGTCTGTGTTCCAGGCTAAGTGCAATGCCCTGGGCATATCCCCCCACCCCCTGCGGTTCTCATGACCAGTCCTGAGGCAAAAACTGCGGTGCTAACCCTGGGACTGCATCAGAAAACCCCAGCAGGTCCTCTTGCAGCTCATCCTCAGACTCTGACAGCAAATTCCTCTTCCTCTTCTGGCCTGAGTAGAGGGGCTCTGCGCCAACCGGCCTGAGAAGTGAGGAGTGTGGCCCTTTGAATTTCAGTCTTTGACCGTCTCAGCACAGCCCCTCCTCCCACAGTCCGGACATCTTCCGCTGGCTGGTATCCCTCCCAAACCGTCGACCCCCATTTTACCTTTGCTGAGCTCCACGTCCTCCCGTTCTTCTTGTCACTGTCCCCTCTGCCCTTGTCTACAGACAACTCCTGTGGACACCTTCACCTAGCTGAGGGAATCTCCGCTTGGGTCACGGCTCTCCCTGTGCATTCTGGGAACTCATCTACCTCATCTTCTTGTTCCACAAGGTTTGGATCCATTGGCCTCCTTGTGTCCCCTCCTGTGCTCCCACCCTGGGGCTCCCTCTTCCCATTATCTGTAGCCATCCCTCCTTCCTGGCCACCTCTCAGAACTTTCCGTCTCCAGCCCCTCACCTGCTGGTCCTGGCATTTTGTCACCACCACCACTTCCAGAGTGTTGTCTGCGGAGCTTGGCTGGCAACGGTGAGCTCCATGGCAAGTGGTCATGAGTGCTCCCAAATACCTTCTTCCCTTCCGCAAAGCCCAGACTCTGCTCTGTTCAAATCGTGTGTTGACTAAGCTGAGATAATATATGCAGGATGCCTTGCCTCAGGCTCCCAAGTGATGGGATTAGAGTCCCGGGCCACTGTGCACCTCACAACATGAACTTCTACTTCCCAAGGCTGATCTGGTTACAGCCACCACAGAATACCCCGTATGCCAGCAGCAGAGAACAACACTGAGACATGATGTGTTGGGAATCTTGGGGAACATGTCACAGTCAGACGTTGTGACAGGCGTGCCAGTGGCGTGCTGGTGATGAGGGAGGTGTGAGGGACAGGGACAGCTGGTTGCCTGGGCTGGCCCTCTAGCACTGTGGTGGTACCTGACCTCATGGGCTCCCTTAGAGCTTGAAAGAAAGGTGGATGGATGTAGGGTACCATGAGTGAGGCTAGGGTTCAGGGTGCCTGGTGGGCAGTTCATCCAAGCCCTTGCTAACATTTCAGTGAGCCCGAGCTCATCTCCTGGTAGCCTGAGAATGGAGTTGTTGTGTGGGCCCGAGCGCCTGACTCACAGGGCCCCTCTGCTCCTAGGAGGGCGCGGGAAGAACTGGAAGCGGTGCTAGTTCATCCTGACTGACAGCTGCCTCTACTACTTTGAGTACACCACAGTCAGTGGGCCCTGGGAGCCTCTGGGCGGGGCCTCAGACAGTGGCCTGCTGAGGATGGGGTGTGCCTTTTCCTCGTAGGACAAGGAGCCGAGGGGCATCATCCCACTGGAGAACCTCAGCATCAGAGAGGAGGAGGGCCCATGGAAAGCCGTAAGTGGCCTCCTTTCGCCAGTGTCCCTTTTTTGCCTCCTTGGACTGAGCTTGCAGGTGCCCCAGGCTGGGAAGCTAACAGCAGCTTGGGAACCCGTTTTCTCTCTCTCCCCAGAACTGCTTTGAGCTTTACAATCCCAGCCACAAAGAGCAGGTCATCAAAGCCTGCAAGACAGAGGCTGACGGCCCGTGTATTGCTTCTCTGCACAGAGCCGTGAAGAGAAGGATGAGTGGGTGAAATCCATCAAGTGAGTAAGGCTGTAGAGGTAGCATGTGCATGTGTGCCCAAGGACACACTCAGTTTGCACTTTGACCCTTGTTTCAGAAACTTGGGGTCAGTGCTGCTGAACCCACTCCAAGGCGTGAAGCTGGTGTCTTGTTCGAGGTGTAGAGGAGTAGAGGAAGAGGGGTTTGGGTGCACCATGCCCTGTGCTGCCCTCACCCTAAGCTGCTCCTTCCCTTTTCTTCCCCACAGCAAGCATCAGCAGGGATCCTTCCTATGACATGTTGGCAACGAGGAAAAGGAGGATTGCCAATAAGAAATAGAGCTGCCCTGGCCCTGCAGGTATACTAAAGACGGGAACCCCACAGCAGATGTGATGGGCAGCTGCCCTAACACGACACGTGAGCTGTCCCTCTTCGGGCAGCAGTGGTCCCCAGAACCAGCTGTGGCCCCGCCTGTACACCCTGAAACCTGTGCTGTATGTGGCAGGGATTGTGGTCGGCCGTGTTTCCTCCTGTTGCTGTGTGGCCCAGAGCCTTGGCTCATGTGCTGCTGCAGCAGCGGAGGGAGACTCTCGGTGGGCATTTGCTGATCTTGCCACACACACCGGCCCACTCCAGCAGTGGCAGTGATGATTCTAAAAATTGCTGTTTTATATCAAAATGGGAATGGAAAAGCTACCACTTTTTAAATTGGGAATTTTTCTGAGATATGTAGGATTACAACTTTTACATGCCTTTTTCTATCCTGAAGTTGAAGTGAAAGACACTTTCTAACAGTAGTATTTTTAGAATGGCAGCTATAAATGTAACTCCTGGATGCAAGTACATACTGTGCTCTGAGAAAAAAGTATTTGCAGCACCCAAAAGGAGGGCTCTGGGACACTTGCACTTGTATGGGAGCTGCAGGAGGAGGCGCTAGCGTCCTTCAGGACCTGTATACTTGGGGACTCGAGGTATAACCCTCTTTCAGTCATTTTGGCCCTACGTCTACTTTCTGAAACCAATCATTAGGATATGGTTACGGTTTGGGGCTGTTTGTCCTATAACTGCTGAATCCTAGGTAAAAGAGCTCTTTCCCTGGGGAGATCACTCACAGGATGGACCACAGGAAACTGCTTGTGTCTGACCATTTCTGGTCCACACAGACAGCAGTTGTACCTGGTTCCACAGAATCCAAGGGTCAGATCAGCTTTTTTCCTTTGGAGACAGAGTCTCGCTGTATAGTCCAGGCTGGCCTCCAACTTGTGGTGATCCTCCTGCCTCAGCCTCCTGAGTGCTGGGATTATAGTCATGCGGCCACCATGTCTGGCTAGATCAGCTTTTTACCACTACCATTGTTATGTAACCCTTTGGCAAAATGTTTACCTCCCTGACATAGTCAGATTTCTTACTTTAGACTTGTAAGTGACTGGGAACAGTCCATCGTCTCCCTCTTGCAGTACTATGTTCTCAGACCTGAGCTTCCCTTGTGAGGAGGAAGAGAGCAAGCCCTGGCTGAAGGTGTGTGGCACTTAGGGTTTTCTGTGAACAGTGGAGAGCCCCAGATCTCAATCGGAGTGGGCTCACTGAGACAGACAACAGAGGCATTGATGGCCCTACCATTGTGACTGTCAGAGCTGGGCAAGGCTGAGGGCACTGGGTGTCACAGCCTGCTTCCTGAGGACCTCTGTTTGCACCTTTGGGGTGCCCGTGCATTAACACCTGGGCCCTCTTCAGTTCCATACACGGGCTGTTCTGCTGGTGACCCCTGCCCAGACTTGTTCCCTCTCCCTGTCTGTGCTGGCACCCCCAGAGTTTGCACCCTTTGGAGTTCTTTGTATTCCTGTGCGAAAGCAAGTCCAGGAATGAAAACCTCAGACCCAGTGCACTTACCCAGACATAAGTCTTCCCTTGAGCTGCCTTGATGCAGAGACTGTGCAGCCCTGGGCCCTTTGCCTCTGGGTGGCTGACCTTCGTGTGTAGCTTTAGGTCACACCAGACTGCAGAGAGGCCAAGGCTGAAACTCTCCATCATGCAATAGACTGATTTAGTGATTTATGCTCAAGCATCTATGCTTTTACTTTACTGATACCTCATACCTGAAACTTTAGTGTTTGAGCAAGGCAAGTCAGCTGCCTTGACATGTCTGACTGGTGCACATGCAACTTGGCCCATCTGCCGTGTAGAGGTGCTGCCCAGACCTGGACCAAGCATGATGCCTCCATGCAACGGCCCACCCTCAGGCCAGCGGTGCCAGGGACTGCAGCAGGGTTGGGTCAGCAGTTCACATAGGGACTAGCGGCTTCCTCCCTCCTGATTGTCTAACACAGGTGCGACCCTGGAGATGTGCAGCTTCCTTTGTACGGTGTTGAGAGAAGGGAGCGTGGAGTCATGTGGTGGTGAACCTTTATCACCGCGGTCACCTGTGAGCCAGCTCTGGGCGATGGCCATTCACCCAAGATCATGCAGAAGGCCCTGGAGCGCCTAATCTTAAGTGACTTGCCCTGTGAAGAGTATTACATGAAGTCATCTAATCCCTGGTTTTCTTGTGAGGTTTTAACCCTCAGGGCACCTGCCATCATGCTATGTACCTGGCCTCCACCCAACACTGCAGACGTGGAGCCCATCCTGCTGCAGGGGCAGCGAGGCTCAGTTACGCTCGTCACCTCCCCATCCAAGGGTCTGCACTCAGTCTTGAGTTGTCAGTCCCAACTCTGGCCAAAGACAAAGTTTCCTCCAGAGACAAAGGGTGGCAGGCAGTTCCGAGGAGGATCCTTGAGGGGAGGTGGCAGCTCCACAGCACCCCCAGCTGTCTTGCTAGGCCCGTTATCATCTGAGTTTTATTTGGAGTTACCCTAAACCCACACAAGCCTCCACACCTCTGGGGTCCTGAAGGACTTTCAAGTAGTTTGATGTGGCCCCAAATGGACTCAAAGTAAGAGCTGTTCATAGATGAAGCAGCATTTAATATATCAGATAAAGCAATGCCTATTTTCATGGTTACAAATGCACATATCCACACAGAAGTGCTGTGCTGAGAAGTTAGGTCTATTACAGACCAGAAATCACTGAGCTCTCATTTTATTTTTTTCCTCAGGAAGCATTTCTATTACCTAAGACATAGTTAATATGTAAATAATGTACATAAATTGATTTGTGGAGAGTTTTGTTATTCAGTGTATACCCCCTATAACTTGCATGAATATTCTATTGCTATCGAAATATCTACTGATATTTTGTTGCAAAGTGAACAGTACAACTGAAGGGTGTGTGGCTGTTAAAGCTTGCAAATACAGTCTTCACTAAAAGTGAATCACGTGTGTTGGTAAAACAAGGTCTAAGACTTGCTGCTTTAAAGCGGAGATATGTTGGGTACAGCAAACTGCCGCCTGGTTTTCCCTGACCCATGTCCGAGGTCTGAGGCACCTAGTGAGATGGTAGCCAGAACTTTGTAGGTTTGCAGGAAAGTGAACACAAAGTCCAACATGGCTGGAAGCAAATAGGAAAAAGAGAAATAAAAAAATGACACAAAATGTTTAATTTGCTGCCATTTATTTATTTTTTGCGGCCATTTATACACATATAGATATTACATGTTTTTTTAATCTTCAAAAACAAAAGATCTAACTTTAGACATCTGGGAACAACACAAACTGTCTAATTAATTTGTTTCATATTTTAGTTGTGTTCCAAATTTCAATAATGCATTTTAAGACAAGTTGTTTTTTTACTTGGTAGAACTATTCCACTCAGTTTACCAGTTATGATAAGTATTCACATTATGAATGTACAGTGCAAACATTTGTAAATTTTACAGTATATTTTTATTATATAACATTTGTAATCTTTAAAAATAAAACATTAACTTTAGACATCTTTGAACAACACAAACTGTCTAAACCATACAGATTATTCAGATGGAAACTATTAAATACAGTTTTCCCCACTCCGTCTCCTGAGGCAGGACCAGTGAATTATATGTGTATCACACACAACTTGATAGCATATCCATATTAAAAATAAAATTAGTGTGATTTTGTCTGTAACTAGGAACTTTAAGGGACCCAGGCTGATAACTCAGACTCCAGTATCCTACCGGTGACCAAGACACAGTCTAAAAGAAGTTATGTAATAAAAATATACTGTAAAATTTACAAATGTTTGTATTGTACATTCATAATGTGAATACTTATCATAACTGGTAAATTGATTGGAATAGTTCCACCAAGTTAAAAGACAGAACTTGTCTTAAAGTACATGATTTAAATTTTGAACACAACCAAAATATGAAACAAATTAATCTCTAGGATAAGGCATTACAGGAAACAGTGCCCTCAAAACCTAGTTGACCGCTTGTCAATTTTTAAATAAGTCTTTAAATACACGCACTCTCAATTTATACTTTTAATAATTCCATGGTTTCCCGGTTGGTCTTGCACCAGATGTCTAACTTGGAGGAACAGTACATAAAATACAATTGAGTCTATAGTTGAGCAGCATTTGAAATGTTCTATTCCAGGGTATTATTTTTAATGTGATTTATATACATATCTTACAATAGTCAGCAGTTCTAAAGAGTGATCATTCTTTTGGAATAAGGGTAATTAAGGAAAGGTAAAAACTAAAAAGAAAAAAGCCATGGTGAAATCTGTACAGTATTTAGCAAGGAAGCACCATGTAGATTTGAACAAATTTCTGTTTTAAAGTTAAGTGGAACTGGCATGGCTTCTCTGGAACACGCTGAATCTGAAAGACAAGAGGCGCAGGCATTATAGTCAAAGGCGGAGGCCCAGGAAGCCAGGCCTGCCTTTCTGTACCACCCTGTCCTCAGGTCCCGTTGGTCTTTGGGAAGCTCTTTTCCCTTGAAACTACCACTGCCTTCCTGAATAGCAATAGAGGAACCCTATGATGCCAGGCAGCTGCAGGGAAACTATTGGCTGCCCCACCAGGAAGGCACCATCTGCTGGGCTCCGCTGCACCCACCAGCCTGAACCCCACTTATGGCTAATTCTTCTCAATGCTTAGATCCTGCTTATACTCAGGAAGAGTTTAGTTCCTTAGGCTTAGTACATCCCCTGAGGATACACAGATAAAGCATGTTAATTAACTGCACACTGGTTTTCTATAGACAGTTTACCTTGAAGTTCATTTAAATCACCCTTGCTGATTGGCTAGAAACACATAAGGAAGGACAGTCTGCTTTCACAGGCTACATGGTTCAACACCTGCTTTACCTCCCAAGTGAGCAGCAGGAAGCAGGAGTCCCTGCCTCCCAGGACCACAGAATAGGAGTGATTCAGACACAGGCTCGACACCGTGAAGATTCTGCTCTAAGTCACCTGGACCTAATCCCAACAGAGTGGCTATGTCAGGTGAGGGGCGTGACCCAGCCTCAGCATGACCTCTAGGCCTAGGTGCTCAGCTCTTGGGATGGGCTCTGCTGTCTGGGTTGGGGACATGGGCCTCTCATCCCAGATGCTTATTCGATAACTGCGGATTCTGACTGTGAGAGCCTTGCTGGCTTCTTCAGGGAGGGAGCAGGTAGGAAACAGCCACCGCCCTCCCTTTGCCAAGGCTGCGCTAGTCCTAGCAAGCTGATGGGGAAAGAGGTCTCCACCCTCTCCAGTGCTGGCTTGGAGCTCAGCGCCCCGCCCCTGCTGCTGTTTCCACAGCTCCACCCCAGGCCTTGGGTTTTCCTCAGAAGTGAAATGCCCTCTCTGTCCCCCTCAGTGCTTCTACAAAGAGAATGGGGAGACAGGAAAGCGCTTACCTTCACTAGTGCATTTTTTGTTTGGAGGCCAAGGTTTTAATCACCTGGAAGGCAAAGGTTAGGAAACATTTGAATGACTTTGTACAATTTGTAGTATCTGTGCTCTGGGTGTGCATTAAGTGGTTACAGTTAGACTTAGTTTTCCTGTAGTTTAACACTGGCTGCCTGCACTCAGCCCGTCAGGCTGAGCGAGCACAGGCTGGCACAAGCACTGCTGCAGGTGTCCTCCTGAAAGCAAAACGGGTTCCCATGACACTGGAAGGCCGCTGTTTTCAGGGAAGATGCCCGGAGAGGCTGGCCCTGGGGAACAGGCCACGCCTGCCCCGTCACACTGCTGAGTTCTCACAGCAGGATGAACAGGCTTCAGGCCACGGCCAAAGAAATGCACCGGATTTGCATGGAGCCAGAGCTCAGGAGTTTGCAAGAGAAAGGGGAGTGTTCAAAGGACATGGAGGCAAGGCTATAGGACATGGCAGAGTGTCGCCCTCAGCCAGGGCCCCTCTCAGGAGGCCTGGAGCCCACAGACGAGTTGGCTGCCAATCAGTCATCAGTGCCCCTGGACTGGGGACAGACTCGGCCACCGCTCAGACACGACCTGCCTGCGGCACCTGCCGTGGACAAGTGGGCTCAGCCCTGAATGCCATGCCAGCACCAAGTAGGGCAACTTGCTGTCCCCAGATTGGCAGTCTCTGGGGCTTGACCAGCCCTGCCAGGATGAGGGACTCTGACAATGCAGCGACGCTGCCCAACACGCAGACCTAATCGTCTCAATATCTGATCCTCAGGTACCACATGGAGCTGAGAAGGACCAATTCCCTTCGGCAAATCGCTGAAATGTTAATGTGAAGCTAGAGCAAATGCCACATTCCCTCCAGTCCTGGCAGCAGGTGTCTGCCTGTACCCCTGTGGTGGTCTCATCGTTTCTCAGGCCTGCTTCTCTTCACACCCATGACAACTGCACCAAAACCAGGGGCCACAGGAGCCACGGGCCTGCCCTGCCTGGGCATCCCCAAGGTAACACATTTCTCCTCAGTGTCTAGGGCAGAGCCTAGCAAACTTCCTTTTCTGTGAAAGTCCACGTGTCAAACACTTAAGAGTGTGGCGGGCTGTGCATCTCGTCTGCGACTGCTCACCCCGTCAAGAGTGACAGCAGCTTGCAGATCACGGGCTGTGCTTCAGCCAAAGTCTACAGACACTGACATCTGAATTTCACACATTCTTCAGGTGAAACACAGTACTACTCCTCTTTGGGAGTTTTGAAAACATGAAAGCCATTCTTACCTCACGGGTGATGTGAGACAGGTGCAGGGCCAGCTTTGGCCTTCGAGAAACAGCTTGCCAACCTGTGCCCCAGGCCCCGAATCCTATCGCTTTCATTCTTAACAAGCTTCTGAAGGATCCTCGGCAGGGAACCAGTTAGAAAGGGGGAGGGGCTGTCCAAGAGCAATCAGAGCACAAACAGCCGCTAAATTATGAGAAGACACAGTCTACACACAAGAATCCAAGATGCCCAGTAGCCTGGAGTGAGACAGCAATGCCAGGAGCCTCAAAGGCATCACTGGTAGAGGTGGCCCCTAACATTTGTAACTGCCCATGTCATCACATTATGAGTTAGGATACACTGTGTGTGCTTTAAGGAATCAGCAGAGTAAAGCGAATAGTGCAAAAGCATTGCTACCAAAAATGCTTGGAAAACAGAGAAATTCTCCCTTGTAAGCAAATACTCAGACACCCGGAGCACCATAAATTCCAGGTCCACGTAACCATCCTTCAGTGCTAACGGAGCAGCATCAAGTACCCACACTACACAGGGAAAACGATTCACACAGAGTTTGGGAGTCAACAGGGGTGAGGCCAGAGCCCTGTGTTACCCCAGTGCCCTTTCAAGGCACTTGAGGTTCCATCTCCATGTGTGAGTCACCGTTTCCAAAAAAACTTATCAAGAGTTTTTCTCTTCTCAGTTCCAAGAATCTCCTCTTACCCTGGGCATACTCCAACATGTGGCACCTGTCGGCCCTGCTCTCCATCCTTAAATGCTTGGTTTTCTTTTGGAAAAGGCTGTTGATGTCCACAGCCAGGCCATTGGCGAGCAGGAAGCTGCCCTCGGGTCTCTGGAAATGGTGGACAGTCTCACATCTCAAGGCCTTCAGTAAGTACAATCTTGGTTCTTTTACAGAGTCTTCTGATTTCCCTGAGCGCCTCCTCTTTTTCTTCTTCTTCTTTTTGTGTCTGTAGAGGTCAGTGTCAGAGTACACTACCAGAACACGTGGATCCAGCCGATACCTGCAGAAGCAGCGGCCAGAAATTAGCAACCCAAACACCAGCACCACCTCAGACAGGACCTGGCACTGTCGTGACCACTTACTGAGGACGCTCAATGTACAGGCACAGGTAAATGCTTATCTAGTTAAAAACAGGTTCTCTACTTTCAGTGGTAGTAACCCA